TTTGGAAAAATAATTTGGAGAAAAAATTATATTATTCAACAGATTTCACTTTTGTTGTTGTTTTGTGGGATTCTTAAAAATTTTCTAATCAGTCTTGCAAAGGTAGGTTTTTCAAAGGTCTTCCCATTGATTGGAACCGGGTTTGGATCTTTTATAAAACAACAAAAAAAAGATGTATGAGGATAATTCTATTCATTTCATATGTTTCTTTTAATCACCCACTGCTCAGAAATAGATTTATGACTAGTCATTTCTCAATTGATACCATGTTTATGAATTTATTCTAAAAACAGTGCTATAAAATGCCCCTTATCAGCATTTCTGATATAACCATGGCATATAAAATCTTCTGTTTAAACTTTGATGGCCAAGAATAGCACTGTGTTTTGCAGTGATGATTAAATGTGCTATTATAAGACTTTGTTTTTAACTTTAGAGTTCTGTTGTCATTTTGTTGTTCAGGTAAGGTTAAAGCTTGTTTCTTGTGTAAAGTAGGTTATTTAAATATTGCTACAAGTTTTCAAAGGAGTTTTTTGGTTTATTAGAATATTGGAATTCTCAGTGTTCAGTAAAATCCAGAAATATTGATGATGTGATGAACCCGAGTCTGGAAAGAGCTTTGATTCCATTTTATGGGGTTAAAAGTCGCTTCACAGGCTCTTCTATTATAAGACAGATATGTTTATTACACTCCTAAATTGTATTCAGGAGCTAGACACACTATTTTCCACTATAGATTAGCCTGACTTTCCATGCCATGTTGATAAACCATGCAATTCAGGAGATACTGGGATATTTTCTGCAAGGATACATGAATTCCTAAAGCTAGAGGCAGCTCAGTATAGCATATGTTAATGTACAGTGTATTACATGGGAAAGAGCTGCAGACTGATAAAACAGGGAGCTGATATTCTGAAGTAAACACAAACATTGAAGATTATTCCATCTCTATTTTTTCATGTCTTTGAACAAATTGTTAACCAGTGTGAAACTCAGGTAGACCTGTATAAAAAATAGAGATACTGACACCTACTTAATTTCCAAGGTTGCTGTAAAGATAAAAGAAACTCTGTACTATGGATTGCACTAGGTACGTGGAATCCTTCTTTTCCTCCCACTAGTCTGTAATCTTAACAGTAGGACTGTGAGGGGCTTTATGTTGTCATTATGTCATCACCATCAACTCATTCTCATAGGTGCTGAGAGAACATTCAGGGGAACGAACTGCAAGACAATGAAGAGGTGCCTTTTATCTAATCCATGCAACTTTCTGAGATTGGATTTAAGAGTTAAACCCAAAGCCATATAGCTAGTAGTATCAGAAGCTGGAATTCACAACAGGATCATCTGCCTTTGAAAGGCATACCTTCCTAGAGATTTCTCAGAGAAGTGGAAAGGGAGGACTTTTTTTCAAAGTCATAAATAAATGCCATATGTTTTCCAGAGGCATGATCTCATTTAATTTTCAGAATAACTCTATAAGAAAAGCATTATCTTTCCCATTTTTCATGAGAAGGAACCTCATACCCAGAGATTAAGTAACTTTCTTAAGGCCATACAACTATTAATTTATCAAGCAGTGATTCAGATCCAGCAAAAATCAGTTCAAATCCAAAAAATAGTCCAAAACCAAAAGTCCAGTTCCAAACTTATACTTTTCCTAAAACAACATGCTGCCTGGAGGTATAGGATTAGGAAGAGTGAGAAGTCAATAGTTGGGATAAATATTTGGGCAATGTGATTGGACTGCATATTGAGGAAGAGGATGGAAGCAGAGATGAGAATCCAAGATTGAGCTTTTGCTGGGGAGGGGGGCAGGGACCTCAATTTATCTTCCCTCATCTTTCATACCTCCAGACTTCTACTGGAGGGCAGAACTTTCTGTTCCCTGTGCTTTCCATACTATTCATGCTTCTGTATCTTTGAGCATGTATTTTTTAATTTATTTTGAATTGAAGGGTAATTGTGTTACAGAATTTTGTTTTTTTCTTCTCTGAGTAGAATGCCATTTACTCTTCTTTTTCTGGAAAATATCTCTTTAGCTTCAAAAATACAGTTCAGAATTTATTTTGCAAATCTTTTGCTGATCCAATCAATGTTCAGTTGGATGCTTTTCTTTTTAGTCCAGCATTGTCTCAGATACTTAGCTCAGAAGCATCATTTTTGTGACTCTGGAAGCTTGAAATAGAGTTGTTGAGAACTGATTGTCCTGAAGATTTTCCAAACCTGTATCTAAGTGTGGATTAATAATCCTTTCAGATAATTCTAAATGTATAAACTCCTTAGATTTTAGGACAAGAGAGAAAGCTTTACAGACAATACACACAGGTAAGATCTGAAACCTTGCGTAGTGTTTCAGATATCACTGATACCACACCATTTCTACCCTCAACATAACCTACTTGATATCTCTCACTGTGCTTTGTGCATGATAAGCAATATGGAACAATTGAAGTTCAGAAGAATTAGCACAATTATGTAAATTAAAAGAAGTATGATCAAGATTAGAATGAACTAGACCCTGGTGGTATGTGAGCCTTTGCTGGGAAACGGTGATTCTGTCACTTTGATTTCCGAGTCCAACATCCTGTTTCCAGTGCATATCTATCAACACCTTCACCATTATCTTTTAAAAAAGAATTACTATTGTATTACAAATGTTTTCTTTTGGTTATAAAATTTTGATTCAGCAGTAAAGTTAGATTTACTGACTGGAAGTGTAAGGACTGTTCACTTTTTCCCTGCTTCATGCCAAGTCTATAGTGTGTGGTTGAATAGGACAATAGATATTCATTGTTTTTCAAATACCATTATTTTTTCCAGTCAAACATTCATTGAGAGTCATGAGCTTTACAAGTGAATTTATGACTACAAATATAGTGATAAATTCATTAACACTTACTTTATCTGCTCCATTCACTGAATGTCCCATATGTACAATCAGGGTCTATTAAATAGAGGGAAAAAAAAAAAAGAAGAAGAAAGACTTATTAGGGACAGTGGGGAAATGCAGAGCTAACAACCAACTGGTAAATCTGGAATATTCAGGCAACAATAAATAGCTTATTTGGCTTTGTTCATGGCCCCTTACTTTACTTTGGACTATAGTGATCAAGGAAAAAAGTGAAGCAAAGATCTATGACTTGATTTAATCATGACAAATAAAAATGTTTGTCTTTGAAATATAACTTAGGTCATGGTCTCATAGTTTTGTGGACTGGTGCTAACGCTGAAAATTAAAGACTATTGCTTTTGTGATTCTTGGTCAACAGTCAATGCGTGGCTTGGGCTCTAAAGTCCTAAAAAGTGGGCTCATTATGTAATGAATATCTCCAAGCTGGATGAGCCGAAGATTTTCAAAATGGGTCTTTGGTCTGGCATTTCTGCATTATTTGTTAAGCCCACAAAATGTAGATTTTTATCTCTAACTTCTGTTCACTCACTTGTGGCCACTTTAGGAAGTAGTTTTTTTTTACTTCCTCAGTGAGAACTGCAAGATTTTTGTTGGTACAATTTGGCCACTACTTAACAGAAGCAGCTTGCTTATATTACTTCCTGAATTTTTATTTTTAAGACCAATATTTATTATCCCTTAAGAATTCCTTAGCAGCTTTCTTTCTTAGGGATTTTTTTCCCCCTGGAGGAACAAGTCAGGGACTTAATTAGGCTAATAATTTCTTACCCATGAGGATGTAATGAATTTATTCTCCACTTAATAGCCTTTGAATGAAATTACTCAGTACTTAGAAATGGAGGAAATCAGGCTGTAAGAAATCTTTTCTAGGAGGCTACATTTCTCAGGTTCTTGCCTTAAAATATCCATTTGAATACTATTAAATTATACTCTATGTGATAAATTGAGGCTCTCTACTTAAATCTGCCTAGTCTTTTAGGAATGAGAAGTATTAAAAATTCTATTTTGGCTGAGTAAAGAAATGTTAATGACCTGTCTGGCAGTTGAATTTAAACATGCTAGCTTGTTACTGTATTGCCAAAACAAATCAATTTAATTAGGTAACACTTTGTTTTTTGGGGTATCATCAGGGGAGTGAGTTATTCCACTTAACTGAATTTCCCACATAAATGCTTCAGAGTTCTTTTTAAAACATAAATCAAAGCATATTGATTTCTTGTCAAAGTCTTTCAGTGACTTCCTCTTGTCTAAAGGATAATGCAGTGCTTTATAATCTACCATTCCAATTTCATCTGCCTTCAATTTCCCTACCACCTATTTTTTGTTGTACAGTCGCTCAGTCATGTCTGACTTTGCGACTCCATGGACTGCAGCGTGCCAGGCTTGCGTGTCCTTCATCATTGATAATCCATCTACCACTTTAATTTGCTCACCATTCTCTAGACCTATCATACTCTTATTTCTTTGATTTCCAGATGCTGTTCCATGTGGTCATGACCTCATCAGTTTATTGTATCTCTTCTATTTCCAGAACCACAATACTTGTTTCCAATATGGAAGCCATCTGTATGAGGACTCTTTAATTTCTATGTTAGCTTTCCTCACTAAATGGGGAGCTAATTAATAGTGGCCAGGGTACATGCCCCTCTCCACTTTTTTTTTTCTTTCAATTTTCATGTCTTTAGAGACTCATTTAGTGCCTGAAAGCCACTATATTCATTTCCTGTGGGAGCTGTAACAAATTGCCAAAACCTGAGGGACTTAAAATGAAATTTATTCTCTCACAGTTTTAGTTTCCAGAAATGGGGAATTCAGGTGTCAGCAGGGCCATGCTCCCTCCTCCAGAGACTCCAGGGAGAATCTGTTCCATGCCTCTTCTAGCTTCTGGTGCCTCTCAGCAGTCCTTGGCATTCCTTAGTTTGTAATCACATCACTTAATCTTTGCCACCATCTTTACATCATCTTCTCCTGTGTGCATCTCACAGGAGTTTCAAAACTCCATCTACCTCTCTCTTTTTATTTATTTATTTTACTTTTTTTTTTTTTTACCTTTCTCTTATAAGGAAATATATGTGTTTGCATTTAGGGCTCGCCTCGGTAATCCAGAAGTTCCGCCTCTCAAAATTCATAACTGAATCACATCTTTTGCCATATAAGGTAATGTCCAAAAGGTTTATGCATTAGAATGTGGAAAAATCTTTGGGAGCCATTATCAGTCTATCACAGATACTTAATATATTTTAAACTGAATTACTCATTCAAATGCTATAACTTTCAAAATATAAAAGCATATTTGAAAGAGTATTACTAAAGCATATCTCATGCTTAATTGCTTCCTAAACTAGAACATGGTATTCAGACCATATTATCATATTTTTTTGATATGAATGTTCTCTGATTTTTAAAATAAACTGTATTTTCAGTTATGGGCCAATCTTATGCTTCTAGTGTATTTAGGAAAGCACTTTCACTACTTTCCAGATATATTCAGACTGCAGTAGTTATTGAGTATCTACCTAATGTGGAGCTGTACATAGAAATAAAATTCAGTTCCTTCTTCAGAGAAGGTACTGATTAATGTGGAAAATAGACATAGAAGCAGAACTATATCAATAAAATCTGCAACTGTTTTTTGACTAAAGGGTTAACAGAACCTTTCAGCTTTATGTATGAGCAGTTGATATTTGGTTAACTTTTTTTCTCTGTTACCCTGGAATCCTGATAAAAGTAATGTATCAACTGTAACATTACTTTTCGATAACATTGGTTATGGCAAAATTTGATTGATTAGCGTATTGCATTTAAACTTGTAACAAGTATGAATTACCCATATTAAGAATACATGAACTATATGTCCATTGACAGATGAATGAATAAAGAAGTTGTGGTACATATATACAGTGGGATATTACTCAGTCATAAAAAGGAACACATTTGAGCCAGCTCTGATGAGGTGGATGAACCTAGAACCTATTATACAGAGTGAAGTGAGTTAGAAAGAGAAAGATAAATATCATATTCTAGCACATATATACAGAATCTAGAAAAATGGTACTGAAGAATTTATTTACAGAGCAGCAGTCAGGAAACAGGCATAGAGAATAGACTCATGGACGTGGGGAGAGGTCAGGAGAGGGTGATGTATGTATAGAGACATGTATGAGATGAGAGAGATGTATGAAAAGAGTAACATGGAAACTTACATCACCATATGTAAAATAGATAGCCAATGGGAATTTGCTGTGTAGCTCAGGAAACTCAAACAGGGGCTGTCTATTAATCTAGAGGGATGGGATGGGGTGAGAGATGGGAGGGAGGTTTTAAAGGGAGGGGATATATGTGTACCTATGCCTGATTCATGTTGAGGTTTGACAGAAAACAACAAAAATCTGTAAAGCAATTATCCTTCAATAAAAAATAAATTAATTTAAAAAAGTATACATGAACTATAAATAACTGAAAAGGACATTGTAACAGGATTGACAGGAAGTGCTAAGGGCCTAGTTGGGGTTGGAGATGAGAGTTCATGATTAATCCAAGTCATACAGTTATGTGATTGTTCTCCAGCAAAGCATGGTCATCCAAATATAAAAACAAGCAAGGTGAGTTTGTAGTATTCTTCAAGGTTAGAGTTTTGCCTGGTTAGTTTCAGCAGAATGATTTGGGTACTAGGGACTTAGAGATACTAGCTAGGGAAGTTCTGGTGATGAACCATGGGCTTCAGGGAATGAAAATCAGAAAAGAATTGATAAATTGGAAGGAAATGGAGGCATCCAGGGTCTTTGCCCTTCTTAGTAGTAGAAGAGGTGTTGTCAGCAAGGGCATGAGAAACTGAAAGGCAAAGAAAGCGTGATGGAGGAAGAGTCCTTTGAAAGAGACCAAACAGGGAACCCTGTGGTGACAAGGATGTGCGTTGGGAGGGAGTGACTGAAGCAGAAAGTAGGTTGAAGGTAGCTGAAGCTCAGACATTCAAAAATTATAATGCTGTTGTGTAGTTGGGTAATATGACTAGATGTTAAGATGACTCAAGATAACAAAAGCACTTGGAGTGGAGACAAGACTATAAGTCAAATAGCAAATTTCCAAAGAATTGTAGGAATTACTCAGCAGTCAGCAGATGATGGCAGCCAAGAGGAAGAAAGAGACTCAAAAAACAAGGAGTTAGTACATAGAGACAGAAGAGAATTAAAAGACTAGGAGAGAAACAATGCTCTTTCCAGGATCTGAGGTGGCTGATAGGTAGAAGAGACACCTCCCACATCACCTAGAGACAGTGATGTGGGAGAGGAGGATTTGTTCATAATAGTGAAGTAGAAAAAGCGCTTTCAGAAGGGAGTGGTGAGTATTTACAGTGGACCAAGATTCCAGAAAACCCTGTGACATGAATTTGAGTTTCAAGAGAACAGTAGGAAGAGAGGCAATTAATTGTGCAGAAGTTGTAAAGAAAGTATAAGGTAGTTAGGTGATGAGCCATTTTTTCAAAAGGCTATGTTCAGGAAAAGTCAATGACCAAGATTAAAGAAGGAAAGATGCATGGTTGGAGTTCATGGCCTGAAATATCCCAACGTTGAAGTCACTTCTTTGGGTGTAGGGTCCTCAGAGGTAACAGCAGAGCAAGTGAGAAATATCACAAGGTGGTGAAGGATCAGCCTCAGCTCCAGGTGGGTGGTGAAGATCTGATACAGCAGTCACCTTTTACTGCTCTCAGCGGTAATAGGCATTTTCTTAAAAATCTTCTGCTTTGTAATCTATTTTGAAACTGGAATTGTTATTGAAAGGCATGAGTGGATCTAGCTGCTCACTGCTCAAAAGCCAATAAACAGGTCAAGTTGGTGGAAAGGAAAATTTGCTTTATTTCAGGTGGTAGCAACTGGAGGGGGAGGGGTGATACATATCTGTCTAAAGGCTGACTCCCCCTGCCCAGCCCTGGGCACCAGTTGGGCAAGAACTTTTATAGACAGAAGTTGGGGGACAGGCGTGGCAGCTGCATGCAGTAACAGCTCATTCATCTCTGACAGTCATTTTTGAATTGGTCGTTGGTGGTCTGACCAGTGTCATCTTGATTGTTTTAGGTACAGTTAATCTTCAGGTGTGGGGTCTATTTGTCCCCATTTCTCTGAGATCACTTCTTGGAATTGTGGCAGCTTATGTGCTGGGTACAGTCTGGTCATCATGTAGTTACTTCTCCACCTGGATTTTTTGGTATCTATAAGACAACTCACAAGATATTTCCCAGCATATTATCTGTAGACCTTGAGAAAGAGCAAAAGACCCTGAATATGCTTAATGACTATATCATCATTATTCAGTCTCCTTTGACTCCTGTACAATGTTACGAACCACCACTGTCTATAGTTCTTCAGGCACTCTATCAGATCTAATCCCTTGAATCTTTCTCACTTCCACTGTATAATTGTAGGGATTTGACTTAGGTCATATCTGAATGGTCTAGTGGTTTTCCCTACTTTCTTCAATTTAAGTCTGAATTTTGCAATAAGGAATTCATGACCTGAGCCTCAATCAGCACCTGGTCTTATTTTTGTTGACTATATAGAGCTTCTTCATCTTCAGCTGCAAAGAATATAATCAATGATTTTGGTATTGACCATTTGGTAATGTCCATGTGTTTTTGGAAAAGGGTGTTTGCTATGACCAGTGTGTTCTCTTGGCAAAACTATCTTAGCCTTTGACCTGGTTCATTTTTCACTCTAAGGCCAAATTTGCCTGTTACTCCAAGTATCTCTTGACTTCCTACTTTTGCATTCCAGTTTGCTATGATGAAAAGGACATCATTTTTTGGTGTAAGTTCTAGAAGGTCTTGTAGGTCTTCAGAGAACCCATTCAATTTCAGCTTCTTCATTATTAGTGGTAGGGGCATAGACTTGCATTACCATGATATTGAATGGTTTGTCTTGGAAGCAAACAGATATTATTCTGTCATTTTTGACACTGTACCCAAGTACTGCATTTTGGACTCTTCTGTTGACTATGATGGCTACTCCATTTCTTCTAAGGGATTCTTGCCCACAGTCATAGATGTATTGGTCATCTGAATTAAACTTGCTCATTTCAGTCCATTTTAGTCCACTGATTCCTAAAATGTCAATGTTCACTCTTGCCATCTCCTATTTGACCACTCCAATTTATCTTGATTCATGGACCTAACATTCCAGGTTCCTATGCAATATTGCTCTTTACAGTATTGGGCTTTTCTTCCATCACCAGTCACATCCACAACTGGGTGTTGTTTTTGCTTTGGCTCAGCCTCTTCCTTCTTACTGGAGCTATTTCTTTACTCTTCTCCAATAGCATATGGGGCACCTAATGACCTGGGGAGTTCATCTTTCAGTGTCATATGTTTTTGCCTTTTCATACTGTTCCTGGGATTCTCAAGGAAAGAATACTGAAGTAGTTTGCCATTCCCTTCTCCAGTGGACCACATTTTGTCATAACTGTCCACCGTTACCTGTCCATCTTGAGTGGCCCTGCATAGCATGGCTCATAGTTGAGTTAGACAACGTTGTGATCTATGTCTATATGAATGAATAGCATGATTGATTCTATCTGGATGAAAACCGCAATCACAGAAAGAACCAGACGTGAAACAATGGACTGGTTCAAAATTAGAAAAGGAGTATGTCAAGGCTGTATATCGTTACCCTGCTTATTTATTATATGCAGAGTACATCATGTGAAATTCAAGGATGGATGAAGCACAAGCTGGAATCAAGATTTCTGGAAGAAATAAAGATAACCTCAGATATGCAGATGACACTACTCTTATGGCAAAAAACAAAGAGGAGCTAAAGAGCCTCTTGATGAATATGAAAGAGGAGACTGAAAAAGTTGACTTAAAACTCAACATTAAAAAAACTAAAATCATGGTATCCAGTCCCATCACTTCATGGCAAATAGATGGGGAAACAATGAAACAGTGAGATACTTTATTTTTTGGGGCTCCAAAATCACTGCAGATGGTGACTGCAGCCATGAAATTAAAAGATGCTTGCTCCTTGGAAGAAAAGCTATGACGAAACTAGACAACATATTAAAAAGCAGAGACATTACTTTGCCAACAAAAGTCTGTCTAGTCAAAGCTATGGTTTTTCCAGTAGTCTTGTATGAATGTGAGAGTTGGACTATAAAAAAAAGCTGAG